CTGCGCGGGAGCAGCTCGCCGGTCCCCGCGAGGTAAGCGCGGCCCGCGGGGCTGCCTCCGCGCGGCGCGTCCTCCGCCTCCGCTTCCCCGCCGCCAGCGGACACCCCCCGGGACTCCGCAGCCCGCGGTGGGAGCTCGGGTGATGCCCTCGGGTCTCCGCGACCCTTCCCTTCTTCTCCCTGCAACAGCTTCTGCCGCCCGAGTACGGCAGGAAACAGCCTAATCCCTTTTTACAAGAAACTGTTCGTCATCGCTTTTATTATTATTATTAATATTTTTCCCCCTTTGTGCGAAGTGTTGGCGGCGCCCGCCCCCCGCCCGCCCCCGCTGCGCGCTCCGCTCCTGCACCCTGTGCCTCTCCTCGGCTTAGACGGGTCTTTCCAGGGACCGAAAACTTAAGCTGCCCCTTCCCCCAGCCCCCTGCCCTATATGTGCGCCTTGCGTTCCCATTTTTAACCTCCTTCCTTCCCCCCCCTCGCCCCGTGTGTCTAATCCGACTCCGTCCATATCCTTCTCCTCCCCCCACCCCCCTCTTTAAACTAGGTTGCAAAGCTGCTGTGCCCTGCAACTCCTAAAACTTCCCTGGTTGATGTGGCTTATATTCAATACTAACAAAAAAGACAACACAAATATACTCGGTCCTCCGGTGGATGACTTTTTTTTTTTTTTAATAATGCATTTCCTTCTTCCCCTTTAATTTTTTTTTTTTTTTTGGCAAGGAAATTTGCTCCATCTCCAGCAGCAACCACTGCTCCTTTTGATGTTGTGGTACGCCGTGCGCATGCGCTGCACATTAGAATTACTGCACTGGCCAGAATAAGTTGGATCTCTTCTTCTCTTCACTGAAACCCTAAATCATATCAAAAACCAAAGGGATGTTGAGAGTCCGGAAAAAGGGTTACTTGGGGATTTGGTCCTTCCCTTTAATAATAGCGGTGGTGTGTGCACAGAGGTAAGTGATGAAGGTATCTCTTTCGCTTTACTTTGAATTGTGCTGCATGTTACCGCTAATAGGAACGTACATCTCGGTTCTGAGAAATAAGAAATCTCTCTATATTTTTTTTCCTTAGTGTCAATGACCCTAGCAATATGTCACTGGTAAAAGAGACCGTGGATAGACTGCTGAAGGGCTATGACATTCGCTTGAGGCCAGATTTTGGAGGTAATTTGACTGCTTTTCGTTAAGAGCTATTGCATACCCAGAGCGGGTACCTTCGGCGGGCGGGTTTTAAACGTGCAGCGGGTGCTGTTGCTCGGAGGTGTGTGGTGCCATTTTCTCAAGCTCATTCAAAGTTAAGCCAATTGTTACTCAATTTCCTTAGCACAGGGCGCTCTTAATGCGATCAGTTAAATCTCCTGCGTATTTGTAATCGGTCCCTTGTCATGCGTTTCCGCTGATGATTTATTAACCTATAATTAAACGCTTGTTTAACGGGCTTTATCGAGATGCAAGTCTCTCAAGTTTACCCATCGTTTGCTCTTCATCTTAATGTGCCTGTGATCGCAGTTACTATTTTTGAGTACAAGATGTGCTGCTAACTGAGACAAAAATGTCATTTAACCCCCTGTGCACCCCCACTTTGAACTAGTTGGTTTCTTTATTTTGGAGGTGCTT